TCGCATGAGGTCAAGTATGGCTCCGGTGAGCAGGGCCGGGCCGGGGGTGTCGGGAGCTGGGAGGTTTTGGGGGCACAGGCTGTGAGGGGGCCGGGAAAATGGCGGGGGGCAAGGAGGTGTCTGTGAGGGGGGCAAGGAAGTGTTTGTTGGAGGGCAAGGAGGTGGGGGAGACAGGCAGTGCCTGGCAGGGGGTTGGCAGGGAAATTGCGAGGAGTGGGCAGTGAGGGTATCAGGGAAGGAGAAGGAGGTGAGAGCTTCCAGAGGTTCATGTCCTTGGTGCAGGGGGAAGCAGCAGGCCAGGGATGGGGTGCTGGGGTGCGCTAGAGACCTGTCAGGGACAGCAGGATGCCGAGGCCCGGGGTGTGGGACGTGTCAGCTGCCTTGTGTGTGCCCTGCAGTCGGAATGTGACAGGGGTGCTTTGCCCCCATCCCTGAGGGGAGCCCTGCTCTGTGTCAAGGGCCTCAGCAGGACCTTGCAGTGTCTGTTTAAGCAACAAGGGTGCTGGTCTGTTTGGGGACACAAAGAACTTGGTATTTTTTTGAGAAAGGTGGGATGGTGTGAATAGTGTCCGCCATGAATCACATTTTCTTCTCGTGTGTTCGCCATGAACTTTGACAGTTTGCATCTGCTAACACATGGTGTGTTTGACTTCCTCAGTCTGAAAGATTATTTGGTACCTGCATTCCCTTTGCAGTCGGTAAATGGACTATGAGAATTAAACATTTCTTGAACGTGAAGGTGTGAGAACATTAAAGAAAATTTCTTTAGTTCTTTCAGGACTTTTTGAACTGGGGAAGCAGGTTAAGTCTCCTGTCATTTAATTCTACTTCAACAGGAAGTGGGCAGCAGTCAGTGACAGGAGTTGAAGCTTCAGACGATGCCAACAGTTACTGGCGGATCCGTGGGAAGAGTGATGGCAGTTGCCAGCGTGGTACACCGGTGAAATGTGGGCAAGCAATACGACTGACCCACGTTAACACAGGGAAAAACCTGCACACTCATCACTTCCCATCACCACTGTCCAATAACCAAGTGAGTTGTAAATCTTTACGTTTTTTATGAATAGTGCAATGTATTGACAACAGTCTCTCCAGTTCCTCATGTTTTTGGAGAACCAGCCTTGGGTGCCAGCTGCCAGCAGCAGTATGTCTGTGCGTATCCAGAGTTTGAGTACATGTTTTTCTTCATGTTGAAATAATGTATATCAGTTCTTCAGGTGAAATTTAATATGTACCAATATTGGTATTTCGCGGTAGTTTAAACAAATCTGGTTTTTTTCTTTTTTTTTTTTTTTTTTTTTAAATTCTGCACCATTGCTGCTGGCATTGTTTAATGGGCACCTCCCTCAACACAGTGAAGATTGCTCTAGAGCAAGGCAGCTAATCATATGTTATAACACTAGGCATTCCTGTATCCAAGTTCCTTGGTGATCCAATCTAGTAGTCTCAGCCATCTCCTTGCTATTTTGTGAACCTATTTTGGTTCACTATTCTTATTTATCTGTCCTCCTTCCACAGGAAAATTGAATCTACTCTCATAATCGTATTTATTTATAATTTTGTACATATCTAGAAGAGTGTAATTTCTGTCATTAAGTCCCAGTCTTGTCCTTGAACAAATGCTTCTCCAAGGTTCAAAATCTCTCTTAAAATAAATAATGCAAGCTTGTCAGAAGTTTGTCATTGTTAGTCACTTCAGTCTTCCATCAGGCTTTGTAGATAGGTCATCACATTCAAAATTGGAAGACCTGACTCTTTGTGAAAAAGGTTTATCTTTCACCATGAGTAAAGTGGCTAAAACAATAAGGTCCAGCTTTGTGTAGGGTGTCTAGATAATCTCATTATTAAAAGAAGTGATGGAAAAATAGCATTTCAGAAGAATTCTTTAAAGAAAAGATTGAATCTAAAACCTTCCTCTAATTTTTCCTTTGTCATTGTAGACACTTTGTATAACATTGTCAGTAATGTAAAAACGTTCAGCAACTGTCATTGTGTTTCTTTTTTTTTATATATGTGTTTGCACAATGTCTGAGTGAAAGGAAAGCTTGCCTGAGTCCCTCAGAGATTTATAGGACTGTGACTTGTTATTGGTCATTGAGGTTATTGACATATGATGCAGTTATAAGTGCAAACTTTTATTTCGTATTCTTTACAGAAGTTGGATTTTCAATTAGTGCATTATCTTTCACACTTTTGGGGCTACGTAAACTTGAATTAACATGACCCTAAAATTTTAGGTTGCTGGGTACAAACTTTTGCCATTCTATTTTCAAGTTGTTCATCACTTCTAGTTCTCAGAGTTTTTAAGAATTAAAGGCTGTTTAGAGTCTCAAACAGTTGGAGCTTGGTCTGTCTGGTTTCTGTAAATGCTTGGTTTTGTTTTTATATGGTGCATGATGAAATCTAATCTCTCACTTTTGTTTTAGCAGCAATTCATTTGTCTTAATCATTGTCTTTATTTATTTTAAAGAGCTATGTAGCAGTCTGTCTGAAGAAAGAGTTGGGTCACCTTAATAGTTGGTGACCAAACTGTAAGCTTGGTATAATTAAGTATAAAGGGAATATGATGCTTAATGAGCTAAATTGTTGGGATGTTGTGATAAAAACACATGCTGAGAAAGCTGTTGCGATGGTAACTATGAAGACAGTCATACTACAAAGCTAAATGTCTACAGTTACAAACTTAATTTTGTGGGGAGAAAATTTGTATCAGCATTAGAGTTGTTTCTTTTGAATTTTTTTTCTCAGGAGGATTATTCTGATCTCTCTGTGCTAAATCCTCTTTTATTTCATTTGTATGTTAGGATTCGTTGGCCCTTTTTGCTCAGATTACACGGTGAAGTTTGTTGGCAATTCGTGATCAGATTGTAATGGTAGAAACTTCTGCTTCTGGATTTGATAACTGTTGGCAAAGCAAAGCAACAGCACTTTTTCTTTCCCCATCCTTGTCTTTAAACTCTGCTGACTTTGTGGTTGGTATTTGTGTGTATTGGAGGTGTCTGCTTACATTTTCACTCCAGGGAGTTTGTGTCTCTAACAGGAAGTAAGTGCCTTTGGTGATGATGGCGAAGGAGATGACCTGGATATCTGGATTGTACAGTGCAGTGGGACTTACTGGGAGCGGGATGACGCTGTGCGCTTCAAGCACGTGGGGACCGAGGTGTTCCTGTCGATAACAGGAGAACAGTACGGCCACCCCATTAGAGGCCAGCGGGAAGTCCATGGCATGCCTGCTGCTAATCATCACAACTATTGGAAAGCAATGGAGGGAGTCTTCATCAAACCCAGTATGGACCCTGCAAAACATGATGAGCTCTGAATTGACAGAGGATCCAAAAAGCTTTAGCTGACTCCAGAGTTCAGAGATGCTAATCCTTGGTCTCTTTTAAGTCTCGCCTTGCCTGGGTGACTGACTTTCTGTGTTACTGAAGGGCATTAGTTCATTCTAGAAATGCAGCACTTCTGTGGGGAATGGCTTCTGCCAGGTTCAGCCACTGACATTTATTTAGTGAAATCCTTTCTGAATTTTCAAGCTTATTGGTGGAACTAGTTCATACATCTGTTAGTTTTTGTTGTTGTTTGTTTGCTTGTTACTTTTTCTCAAATTCGAAGGAAATGGAAAAATAGAAGTAATACATTACTGTAGTCCCAAGTACAATAGAACTTTGTATTTTGTAATCTTTTTCCAACTATAATTAAATATTTGGAAACCGATTTCTACTTCTTAGTGAAAGAATGTCATTGATGAGGAGATGGATTGAGTCTAGAAAGGGAAAAATGGTTCTCAAAATGGTGTTTTTTGAATGGCTTGAAGTCAGTTATCAAGCCTTTGAGTAAACGAAAGTATCCATTTGAAAATAGCTTCCAATGTGCTTCCTGAGTTTCGTTCTGTACTGTATTGGAAGAGTTGAAAATATTGTGTATGTTGGAACAAGAAGAGAAAATTTTAATATATTTACTTTGTCCAAGAAGTTCAGATGATCTGGTAATGGTGGTACTGCTAATTGTCCGTTGGTAAGGCTGATCTGCTCTATGAACTGGTGCAGAAAGCTGCTTGTCTAATTAATATTAGAATTTTATAAAATTCCTTATGCTGCGAAGGAACACTTGAATTTGGCTTATGTTGTACTTCAGTGTCACTCTGGAAGATCAGTATGACAATTCAGATGAATAAATAGTGTGGCATATACCCATGTGGGGATTTTTGTGTGTGAATCCAGAAGAGCAAAAAGAATCTTAGACAATAGTTTGGTCCTGGATTTTTGACAGAATGGTGTGTGGTGGAGTGCTAGCAGGGAATCTTCATTGAACAAATTAAGAATTTCTGTGTTCCTCTCCCTCTGTGAAAAGAGAAATTAATTCTTGAATGTGTTTGTTACACAGTGTTACTGGAAATAACGATTAAAATTCAAAATACCATACATTTGCTCTTTGCTTTAAACAGAAAAGCTCACCAAATGAGTGAGAAAAGTCGGAAAACTCAGGTGTCCTTGTTTCCATGTGTAAATAGTTTACTGATTATAGTGCTCATTAGTCAATCAGTTAAAGAAGCAGGAAAGTGATTTACTGCTTTTACCGCCCCAGTCACGTGCTGCAGCGTTAAGGGTTGTGTTGAGAAGGTGCACCAAGCAGTTGCAGTTCAGCTTTAGAAATACAACAGCTACTCTGTAGGTCCTGCTCTGTTGTGCCTTGTGCAGGTGCTGGCCAGGCCAGTTCCAGGTTTTATTTAAGGGTTTCCTACCAAGGAAGATTCTTTGTACCCTATGGAACAAAGCACCCCGGTCACAGTTGCTCTGTGTAGCTCATTATTTTTCTTCAAAGAAGAAGGTAAGAATGTTTTTCTGTTAATTTTAGTTGAGCGTGGGTATTTAAGGATTGCAGGTGTTTTGGAGGTTAAGTAGGCTGGATTTTGGTGATTTGTAATAGAAGTAAACTTTTATGTGATTAATGTTTCAGGTTCACTAATATTCCTGACTAATTGATATTGGAGTTGTAGCTATAAAGGATAACTGTTTAAAAACAAACCAAACCTTCTGCATAAACAAGCTGACTTTTCCTTTCCTTTATTAAAAAGGAGGGCTTTTTCTTTTGAAGATGGTATACAAGTAAAAACAAAAAGAGTTGAGAGTATTTGACAGGAGGAAAAAATAATTTGGGCAATGAGTTCTCTGTCACCAAGAGCTAAAATGCTTTATGCCAAAACCATATGGGCTTAGTGTTTGTGCACCTGTGGAATACAGTTGGCTGAGAAAGGGACAGAGCTGTGGGGCTCATCTCAGTCTGTGTGTCAGGTACTATCCCTACCCAATGTTTCTCTCTGCCTGGATGTTTGTCCGAAGCAAAGGTATTTATCAATCTTATTTATTATGCTTGAGTGGGATTTCCCTGGACCTTTGTCTTTCTGTTCTGGATTTGAGCCGAATTGGTTTAGTGAGGCTGAAAAAAAAATAATTTTAGTCCTTATTGCTTACTTTCTGATATGATCTCAATTTTGAAAAATATTCGTACCTTTTGTTCCTAAAGAACCAAACTTCCCCACACATATGTATCTATTAATACCTTATTTAAAGACATATTCAACAATATTCCTGTGAACTGAGTTTCCTCCACTTCTTATTATGACCAAAGTGTAAAAGAACTTGGCCTTAATGTTTCGCTTGAGTATGTGTCACAATAGTTGGCTTTTTTTTTAGTTGGTTAGGTTTTTTTCTTGGTTTTTATCACTATAAAAATGAAGGACTCTTAAATAAGGCCAGTTTAAGTACATCTTACTTTGGAAAGGTCTAATATAGGACTTCAAGAACGATTGGTACTCCCAGCATGCTAAATGCTGGCTAGGAAGAAAGGTCATGTTAATGTAGGAAGTGCTAAAGTTATAGCTGTGAAAAATGATGGCTCTTGCTCATGTGCAAGAGTGTAGTTCAGGTGTTTTTATTTACTTCAGCTGTTTACAGTTCAACTTTTCAGTCCTTCCACCACAGATGAGCTCTAGAGATATGGAGAATCTCTGTTTTTATATTGCTGGGTGGTGTTGTTTGTTTTCCATGTGATTTTATCATTTGCCCAAGGATGTTGGGGCTCTAGAATAAAGCATGAAATACTGAGAGATGTAGATATAAAACTCGGGATTGCTGTTTTGCTTATTTGTTTTCCTTTATTTTAAGGTGATAAATTTTATAATATCTCCTGTCAAAATCCTCTGCATGCTTCAATGTTAAGTGAAAGCTGTTTATTTTGATTTCTGATGCTAGCAAATAATAATTCTTTTAAATAACAAATGCTTCCAAATTTCTTGCTTACTACTGCAAGAAGTCTTTGAAAAGGTGCACTGATGTTGTTACTCTTCCTGTAGTAAACTAGAAAGACTTTTGGGGAAAGAATTAGGGGAATCTGTATTTATAGTTGTTCTTAGTGGGAATAGTTGCTAAAGACTATCTGCTCTGAACTATGTTGAAGACAATCTCTCAGATACTGCATTTTACACATGTATATATCTAGTTCAATGTAAAAATGACAAAGTTCCTTAGATGCGCTAATTTTGGAGGCAAGTATGTGTCTCCAACCTTTTTTCTCTTCTTTCTGGAAGGTTTTTAAAACTTTCTATAACTGCTAAGCATATGAGCACTTGCTATGTGTGTTGGCTTCTCAGTGTGAGTGAGGACTGGGTTTAGTTCTTCAAAAGTGCTGGAAGGGATGTACAGCTCATTGATTCTGAGTGTTGAGCCTAAATATAAACCGATGTTTTAATTTAATTTGTTTGGGAATACTAATTGAGTATATCTGCTCTTAATAAGTTAAATTAGCATATCTTTTTAGGAAGAAAAAAATCTACCATTGAAACAACCCTGTAACAGTGATGCTTACTCAGCCATGTTTTTAAGCCTGTGAGTTTTACTGAATCTTCTTTCTCTTCTGCCTCTCTTCTCCAGCACTGAAGCAGTAGCTGGCACTGTAGATGCGCCATGTTTCACACCTGTACTAGACAGAGGCTGAACCTTATCAGGACCTTCTTTCCAGCAGCAACATCTTGCTACGTGTCTGAATCCCTGCTTGACATTCTTGGTGCCTCTTTGTTAAATTTCCTGCTGGCAGAGAATTTGTATGTAGGGTGCCTGATGCTGCTGTCCCTCTTTCCTAGTTTTGAGTTTTCATCTGTGTCCTTTTGGTTTTGCAATTCTCTCTTGAAACACATTTTCCTGTAATACAGCTCTGGGCCACTGTTCAAATATGTTTGATCATTAATTGCTTCATAACGTGGCTGTTTCATCAGTTGCCTTTCAGGAACCCATGTTTTTGGAGATACAAGGCAGCACTTGTGGTTGTGTCATTAAGCTTTGTTAGGAAACAACTACAACAAAAAAGTTACCCTTAAACAGGAATACTTGGAGCTAAGAAGTGCTTTCCTCTTGATTGTGTTTGATTCTATCCTGGGGGATAGGAAGCACAGGGGGTGGTTTGCTTCCTCAAGGAGGAATAAAATGGCGAACCTTACCAACCTGGAGTTGCATAGGAAACACAAGGCAATTCAAACTTGGGGTACGTAGCATTTATTATGTATGCAAATCACAAACAGTAATAAACTTTAAGGTCCTAAGGTTTTTTAAATGCTTAGAGGAATAAATATTTTATACTTTTTCCCCTCCTCCTACTGCCATTCTAAGCATCTTAGTGCTCCCATGTTTATAAATACTTTAGCAGGACCTGGAGTATTTGTATCTAATAGTTTCTTTTTACTCTAAAGATGGAACAGCAGGGTTAGCTCCTTTTCTTCTGTTTCCTGAGTCAAGCTTGCAGTAATTGGAGTAATGTGTGGGAATTATTTGAGATGGTCAACCAATTCCTCTGAGGACAGTACTGAATTACTTTGGGTGTGTATGAGACAAGGAGGGAATGTAGTGACCACCTTGAAAAGTAGACTTTGTTTGCTGCACCATTCAATGCTTTGTTCTCTTTAAATTGCATCAAATTAAACTGATTATAAAAACCTTCTTGCTATATTTGGTATTGTGCTAATTCTAAATTAGCATAAAGTTCCCAGTGAAATCCTCGTCTGATACTGATTCAAGCCACTGTTCTGTGAGGGATTCAGCTGTCTTCAATCCTTTGGGAAAATGGTGTCCTGCTTCATTAGGATAAGAAGCGTTAGGAGCTGTATAACATCTCAAGGGTACCAAACCCTTAAAAAACATTAGAAATTAATCAGAATACATGCAAGCTGCAAAGCTGCCTGATTAGTTCCTATGTGCTTTTTTAAACTACAAAAATAATGTGCGGATGCTGGCATTGCATGTCTGGAGGACTGTTGAGCTGTGACTGGGATCTAAGGCTCTTTGCTTGATCTCTGTGATGGTTATGTATTTATCCACCTAAGCTTCATTTTCTGAGACTGCTGATTAGTAATATAAGTGTGTGCTGTACTGAATGTCGAAGTATCTCAAACCACAGCTAAACATAAGATGCAATAGGTACCCAGTGTTGTTATTTTTCTTCTGCTGATGCCTTCTCGGCCCCATCTCTGCCAGCCCGGCCGCTGCAGGCTGGAAGGGTCGGGCTGACTGCAGCCCCCTGCCCGCGGCTCCCTAGACTGGCCAGTGACTACTCTGTCCTGCCTAGGGAACAGTCCTGTGGGTGAGCTGTCTGAAAACTTGTGTGGGGTATATGCGAGCAGGGCCGTTCTGAGGAGAAAGGGGCGGGCGCGTCTTTCCCCTTATCTCCATCTGGAAGCGGGGAGCGGGCCGGGAGCGGCGGCCGCTAGTGAGCGCTGCTCCTCCGCCTGCTGCTCCCGAGCGCTGCCGGCTCCCCGGGAATCGAGCGCCTTTGGCAGCCCAGCGGTGCTTCAGCTGCGCAGCTTTGATCGCTGCGGATTTATACTCTTCAGGGGGAAACAAATAACATCCGCTTCCTCCGCGTTACACTGCTAAGGCGATCTGCTGCTGCAAGACCTCCCGTGCGGCCGTACCTCGCGTTAGGTGCGCTCTGCCAAGTCAGTACTGCTCGGTTATTCGAAAGGGAAGTTTAAAACAGTAGCGTAGGCTCTGAAGCGGTGCTTCAGGCATTTCTATTTCCTGTTTTTCTTTAGGATCGATAAAGTGAGGCCAAGGTTGAAGTCTATTTGCTTATAGTACACATCTAAGGCAATTACCTGTATTGTAAAATTAAATAACGGTTTCTGCTCGGTGGGGGAAGGAAAGGC